CAGCATCCCGGTTTGTCCCGCTCCCCGAGGGGTGGGGAAGGAGCTGCCTGCCTTCCCCGCTGGACACAGGGCGCACCCAGAGCCTTTGCAGCCCCCACAGGATTGTGAGTGTGTTGCAACCTTTTCCCCAAAACAGAACGTTTCAGTTCCTCGTTCCATTCTGTGTCTCACCACGACTAAGAGTTGATTCAAGAGTATTAACATGACTCAGAAATGAAGCTCCTTTCGTTTTGTCAGCCTTTTTGGTTTCCTTCCTCCCTTCCTTCCTCCCTCCCTCCCTTCCTTCCTCCCTCCCTTCCTCCCTTCCTCCCTCCCTCCCTTCTCCCTCCCTCCCTCCTTCCCTCCTTCCCTCCTTCCCTCCTTCCCTCCTTCCCTCCTTCCCTCCTTCCCTCCTTCCCTCCTTCCCTCCTTCCCTCCTTCCCTCCTTCCCTCCTTCCCTCCTTCCCTCCTTCCCTCCTTCCCTCCTTCCCTCCTTCCCTCCTTCCCTCCTTCCCTCCTTCCCTCCTTCCCTCCTTCCCTCCTTCCCTCCTTCCCTCCTTCCCTCCTTCCCTCCTTCCCTCCTTCCCTCCTTCCCTCCTTCCCTCCTTCCCTCCTTCCCTCCTTCCCTCCTTCCCTCCTTCCCTCCTTCCCTCCTTCCCTCCTTCCCTCCTTCCCTCCTTCCCTCCTTCCCTCCTTCCCTCCTTCCCTCCTTCCCTCCTTCCCTCCTTCCCTCCTTCCCTCCTTCCCTCCTTCCCTCCTTCCCTCCTTCCCTCCTTCCCTCCTTCCCTCCTTCCCTCCTTCCCTCCTTCCCTCCTTCCCTCCTTCCCTCCTTCCCTCCTTCCCTCCTTCCCTCCTTCCCTCCTTCCCTCCTTCCCTCCTTCCCTCCTTCCCTCCTTCCCTCCTTCCCTCCTTCCCTCCTTCCCTCCTTCCCTCCTTCCCTCCTTCCCTCCTTCCCTCCTTCCCTCCTTCCCTCCTTCCCTCCTTCCCTCCTTCCCTCCTTCCCTCCTTCCCTCCTTCCCTCCTTCCCTCCTTCCCTCCTTCCCTCCTTCCCTCCTTCCCTCCTTCCCTCCTTCCCTCCTTCCCTCCTTCCCTCCTTCCCTCCTTCCCTCCTTCCCTCCTTCCCTCCTTCCCTCCTTCCCTCCTTCCCTCCTTCCCTCCTTCCCTCCTTCCCTCCTTCCCTCCTTCCCTCCTTCCCTCCTTCCCTCCTTCCCTCCTTCCCTCCTTCCCTCCTTCCCTCCTTCCCTCCTTCCCTCCTTCCCTCCTTCCCTCCTTCCCTCCTTCCCTCCTTCCCTCCTTCCCTCCTTCCCTCCTTCCCTCCTTCCCTCCTTCCCTCCTTCCCTCCTTCCCTCCTTCCCTCCTTCCCTCCTTCCCTCCTTCCCTCCTTCCCTCCTTCCCTCCTTCCCTCCTTCCCTCCTTCCCTCCTTCCCTCCTTCCCTCCTTCCCTCCTTCCCTCCTTCCCTCCTTCCCTCCTTCCCTCCTTCCCTCCTTCCCTCCTTCCCTCCTTCCCTCCTTCCCTCCTTCCCTCCTTCCCTCCTTCCCTCCTTCCCTCCTTCCCTCCTTCCCTCCTTCCCTCCTTCCCTCCTTCCCTCCTTCCCTCCTTCCCTCCTTCCCTCCTTCCCTCCTTCCCTCCTTCCCTCCTTCCCTCCTTCCCTCCTTCCCTCCTTCCCTCCTTCCCTCCTTCCCTCCTTCCCTCCTTCCTTCCTTCCCTCCTTCCTTCCTTCCCTCCTTCCTTCCTTCCCTCCTTCCTTCCTTCCTTCCTTCCACCTAGAAATTGTTCTTGAGGACCAACAAAACTAGAACACTCAGGCTTTAAGCAGAGGTGAAATGGGTAGTTTGCTTTCCTTGCACACGGTAAGAGGCCAAGGCCAACAGCCACATGGAAAGCAAGTGAAATTACAAAACAAAAAGGAAAAACCCTTCAAAATGTGTGTGTTTTTAGCGAGACTGACTTGAAAAAAAAAAAGCCTTCTACAGAGCTCTTTTGATGTCCATGGAGAACTGTTTTATAAGCTCTGCCACAGCAATTTTAGAAAATTTATGAAAGCATAATTAGCAGCCATGCTTGCTGACAGCAGAGCTGTGGCAGAGCACTTCCTTCAGGTTTTAAAAGCAGATTTTCACTGCTTCAGTTTCAGTCTCGGGAAGGTAAAATGTTTTCAGCACTGCTGATCATTTCCTAGAAATGCACAGTGGGAAGAACTTCTGTCAGTAGCCATGCTGTTCCAAATGCAGGAGCTGTTCATAGCATGCATGGAACAAGCATAGCAAAAGTGGTTTTAAGATAAAAGCATCATCATAGGATAATTTCCTTTGTACACTGGGGAGGCTACACTGACTAGCGCTTAGATTTACTGCATCTTTTCTCTGTAGCAGCTGGAGAGAGCAGCCCTACCAGCACTTCAGTTTTCAAGAGGTTTTTTTTAGAGTTCAGTGTCAAATTCTCTTTGAATATAAGCAAAGACTTAACTCTTTTAAGTCCTCACACGTTGAAAAGCAGAGCTGTTAGCTGTGCCCAGCTACATGCACCTTGACTTGTGTTCCCTTCCAGTATTTGCATATGAATTCTTGATATGGTTTAAGAGATTCCTGAGTTGCTTAGTCACAGGAGTCATTAGGATAGAGAGCTGCAGGTTTGCTGGGTGATACTTTGAGACAGAGAAGGCAATTTATTAGTAGTATTAGTATTATTTATTATTATCATTCCTTTATTGAAATCTTTAAGACACTGACTTAAAAGTATTATATCTCATCCTTGTAGCATTTAATCACAGGCCAGTTTTAATCTGGACTGCAGAATGTCCAGGAATTGGACAAGAAAATGGCATCCTCTCCTCCACTCCCCCTTACTCTCTCATAGTTTTAAGACATAGTGCACTAGAGTATTAGCAGAGAGTGCAAAAAGTAGAAAGGTACAAAGGGATTATGACCACATACTAAGATTTTTCTTAGCTCTTACACCAGGCTCTGACTTAAGAGTTTTCCAAAGCACTGTCCTACATGACATAGTCATGGTTTTTAAAGTAAAATTCCCAGATTTTTAAAAAATTCTTAATGACTGGCCTGACTTTTTAAAGCATCTTAATGAAAATCAACCCATCTTGCACTCATCTGATGATTCATTGTTGACTTTATTGCCATAATTCCAAGGAATTCCATTCAAGGGTCAAGGTCCCAAAGCAGAAATCTGTGTATACACCTGGAGCAAATGGCAAGTCTTACTCCAAAGGGATAAGATTCTACATAACATGAGAGAATAGATGGATACAGAGAGAGACAAGCAGATGAAAGGTCAAGGAAATAAGAATACCAAACTCTGGATTTAACATGTTGGCCCATTATCTTTAAAAAGCTTTCAAATGAATCAAAATCTCTCTCATTCAGTACTGCAATTAGAAAATGCCAAGGTAATAATTTTTGACAGGATATTATTTTGTGGTCATTACTTAAGGACAGTTTTTGACACCGGAGCACCTGAACTGTGTCAGTAAATCTTTGCATAAGTATGTGGCTCAAATTCACATTTAGGCATGCCAAAAAAAGCAGTTGCACCTTTAAATTCTTTTACACCTTCTTGATTTCACAGAAATAATTTTCAAGTCAACGAGAAAGTCCCAGTCTCAAGTAGACAAGAACAAAAAAAAAACAAACAAGATTACTAGGGTTGGTGATGATGTTCAGCAATGCATTGATTTATTCTAGATGATCATAGTATCCTAAGAAAAAGGATTTCCATGATAAAAGTTAATTTATGCATCTCAGCAAAACAAACTTACTTGGTTCCCTTCAAATGAACCCAGTTCATTGCTGGGACCAGCAGAGCGTAAAGCAATGAAACAAGTTCAGCACATTCAACTATCAGATATTTTACATTCTCCTTCCACCAAACCCACAGTGATAAAGAGCTGAGGCACATTCCACTTGTCTATTGAATTCTACATTTTTAACCTGCAGGCACTGGAACATGTCAATGCCAGGCTGCTGGAACTGTACCCTGATGATGAGGAACGGTTCGATATCGTTCTGATGACTAATAACCATGCCCAAGTGGGAGTGAGGCTCATAAACAGCATCAATCACTATGGTAAGTGAGATAAATATGACCTCATAGAACTGTTTGCTGTTCCATAAGGAAGTTAATTCATTTTCTTTCTCCCATTCTGACCTTGGTAAATGCAGCCTCTTTGATACTGACATCCATTCCTCAGAGGATGATACTTATTTTGGGTCAAAAAAATAAAATCTCACTCAACGTGAGGTAGCATTAAACAGAATTTGGTCCAGAGCTCTAGATTTAACTTGTCAGGTAGGAATCTTAGTTTCTGAAAACAGTCCTTAAATTTTAATTGTTTTCTACTTATGCCCTCTATATATACACATTCACATCAGTTGCTCTGTTGTCTTACAGGGATTTTGTGTTCAAATTCTCAAGGAGGAGGGGCTGACCAAACATTGTAATCAGTTTAAGTTGTCTAACTTGCTGGAATTACAGTGAACAGGTTTTTCTTTTTTGAAGTTTACTTCAGGTTGTAGGCTCGTGTGCCATTTATAGCCTTCTATGAGGAAGTAACTAGGTGGACAGGTGATGGTAGGGCAGTAGATGTGGTTTATCTTGATTTCAGTAAAGCATTTGACACTGTCTCCGACAGCATCCTCGTAGATAAACTGAGGAAGTGTGGGCTTGATGGTCAGGTAGTGAGGTGGATCATGAACTGGTTGAAAGGAAGACGTCAGAGAGTTGTGGTCAATGGGACAGAATCTAGTTGGAGGTCTGTGACTAGTGGAGTCCCTCAGTGATTGGTACTGGCACTGGTACCATTCAGTATTTTCATCAGTGACCTGGATGAGGGAACAGAGTGTGCCCTCAGCAAGTTTGCTGATGAAACTAAACTGGGAGGTGTGACTGACACAGCAGAAGGCTGTGCTGCCATTCAGTGAGACCTGGACAGGCTGGAGAGTTGGGCAGGGGGAAACTTGATGAAATTCAACAAGGGCAAGTGTAGAGTCTTGCATCTGGGGAAGAAAAACCCCATGTACCAGTACAGGTTGGGGGCTGACCTGCTGGAGAGCAGTGTAGGAGAAAGGGACCTGGGGATCCTGGTGGGCAGGAGGATGACCATGACCAGCAATGTGCCCTTGTGGCCAAGAAGGCCAATGGCCTCCTGGGGTGTATTAGAAAGGGTGTGGTTAGTAGGTCAAGGGAGATTCTCCTCCCCCTCTATTCTGCCTTGGTGAGGCCGCATTTGGAGTATTGTGTCCAGTTCTGGGCCCCTTAGTTCAGGAAGGACAGGGAACTGCTTGAGAGAGCCCAGGGAACAGCCACAAAAATGATGAAGGGAGTGGAACATCATTATGAGGAAAGGCTGAGGGAGCTGGGTCTCTTGAGCTTGGAGGAGACTGAGGGGCAACCTCATCAATGTTTACAAATATGTTAAGGGTAGGTGTCAGGAGGACAGAACCAGGCTTTGTTCAGTGATGTCTAGTGATAGGACAAGAGGCAGTGGTTGCAAACTGAAGCATAGGAGGTTCCATGTAAACATCAGACAAAAGTTCTTTCCTGTGAGAGTGACAGAGCCCTGGGCCAGGCTGCCCAGAGAGGTTGTGGAGTCTTTTTCTCTGGAGACATTCAAACCCACCTGGACACGTTCCTGTGTGATGTGCTCTGGGTGCCCCTGCCCTGGCAGGGGGGTTGGACTGGGGGAGCTACCCAGGTCCCTTCCAACCCGTATGATTCTGTGGTTCTGTGATTCATGGGTTCCTTTTACAGGTTTGTTGTGTCAAGGTGGAGTCACACCTTTTTGTGCTGTTGTCACTTTAGGCTTAACAATTGAACGTTTCTGTATGACGGGAGGAAAAAGCCCTGTTGGTTACCTGACTGCATACCTGGCCAACTTGTACCTCTCAGCAGACTCTGAAAAAGTGCAAGAAGCTATAGAATCAGGTTTGAATTTACTTTATTTTGTTGTCTCTCCCTTGAGCTTGTTAAAAAAGGAACATATTGTGTGACATTCACAGAACGTAGTGCTGCTCCACCAAATGGAGAAAGTCTCAACTGTGGATGGTGCCAGTTTATCACTTATTTTTACTTGATCAAATGGAATGGGGTTATTTCCCTGTATTGTTCCACTCTGCCCCTTCAGCCTGCTAGTAATGACAACTGAATAACTGTTGTCATACCTTTCTGTATTCTCCCTGGAAGAAATAATCTCCTTTACATAGCTATGCATCTGTATTCAATTTCTGTTTGAATAGTCATCTCTTTGATAGGACCTGCAAAAAACAACCTCTGTGTTTTGTTAAAAAACAGCAAAATGGTTTGATTCAACAGTCTATAGTTTCCTGGAGGTGTTTAAGGAAAGACTGAATGTGGCACTTAGTGCCATGGTCTGGCCGATGTGGTGGTGTTAGGTCAGAGATTGGACTTTGTGATCTCAGAGGTCATTTCCAGCTTCAATAATTCTGGGATTCTGTGTCTTGCAACACACGCTGGGTACTGGTTTTGTATCCTGTATTTGGAGATGGAAGGAAGCATGTCTAAGAAGTTGTGTCAATGGGCCAGCTTCCATGCATTACCCTTAATGCTTTTTATCTCTGGATTAAGCTGTGATGCACAGCAATTTAAAACCTTTTTGAGTATTGATCAAAAGACATTGATTGGGATGCTGCACTAATGGAGAAAAATATTGATGATAAAATTTCTTGGGCATGTGTGAGTGGCAGGTGGGACAGGAAGCTTTCTCACTGTCACCTCCCAGAATAGTCCCTCACTTCAGATCCTGTAACGGGGCCCAAGCAAGTCTGCCCCCATCCCTGCAGCAGCCTGTCTGTTTTGGAGACCTCATAGCAGCCTTCCACTATCTGAAGGGGCTATAGGAAAGATGAGGAGGAGCTTTTTACAAGGCCTTGTAGTGAGAGGACAAGGGGCAATGGATTAAAACTGGAAGAGGGGAGATTTAGGTTAGACAAGAGGAGGAAATTCTTTAGTGTGAGGGTGGCGAGACCCTGGCCCAGGTTGCCCAGGGAAGTTGTGGCTGCCCCATCCCTGGAAGTGTTGAAGGGCAGGTTGGATGGGGCTCTGAGCAACCTGGTCTGGTGGGAGGTGTCCCTGCTCATGCAGGGGGGTTGGAAATAGGTGATCTTTAAGGTCCCTTCCAACCCAAACCATTCTATGATTTTGCGATTCTATGATTTGTGTTAAAGAACAGCCATGACTAATTAGCTCTACTGATCATTTCTGCTCACTGAATAAAAAGGTCACCACAAATAAGTTGTTGGAACCAAACTGCTGACAGCTTTAATGAATGACTTTGCAGGACATGCTCACTGAGGTTCTCTGATCCATTTCCAGGCATTGCAGCAGCTACGATGTTCACTGCCAGCAAAGAGGTTGCCTACTCGGATACACAGCTGAGGGTGGCATTCGATGGGGATGCAGTTCTCTTTTCTGATGAATCAGAACAGATTGTCAAAGAGCAAGGATTAGATAGATTTTTTGAGCACGAACAGCTGAATGAAAATAAGCCTCTTGCACAGGTTTGTACCTCTTGAATCAGTGCATTTTCAGAACATCTGCTGGTTTTCATTGCTGCTTTCTCCAGTTTCCCCAGTGTGTGTATTTTCTTTTCTGTGGATCCTGATTGCCCTATTTATTGTTTTTCAAGTATAATCTTTTAAGTGCATGTTTGACATAAAAGAGCTCACCACTGCAGTGCTTTCACCTGATCTGCCACTTCACTGAAAAAGCTTCATATATAAGACAGTGACTTACAGGTGTATTTTAATTGTATCAGGAGAAAAAGGAAAGGCTACAACTGATTTCCTTGATTATTTTTTTTTTATCAGATTGTGTAGATAATGTTCATTTCAAACACTGGGATATTTGGGTTATTGAAACAGGGTGATATCAGTGCTTATTCCCAAGCAGAACTATGCCATTTGTCTAAAGAACACACAGTTTTTACCTTTAGCTTAAACCAAAGTACCAGTTCTGTTAAAAATTATATAAATTCAGAATAAAAGCTTGATTGATGGAAGTACTGGGCAGTGCAATATATTGCAATCTGTCCCAAACTATCAATTGCTTCTTTTAATTGGAGTATGATAGGATATTTTCATTAATCTAGAGAAAGTTCAGTGATGTCTATGCAATTACTTCTCTTACTGGTTTTTGCACAGAAAGAAAAAAAATGCACCTCACGGTTCATAGCAAAAAGAGTTAAATTTTTAAATAACATTTTATTAAAGACTGTAGTTACAGC